ATTGGAGCGGTAGCAGGGGTTGCTACTTCTGTCACATGAACAATTTCTGCGGAGTTCAGTCAAAAGTCGGTCGTACTTTGCGCGGAGTTTGGATTTGATTCTAGACCGCATCGAATCACAGATTAGCTTTGACCTCAACCTGATACCTCACGCGCAAGTAAGATTATTCAATGGTATTGTCAGCATGAAATGGTACCGCAAAGAAAGCTCGAAGAGCATCCTTTTGAATGTTAAATCAGCGCATCCTGCATCTACGAAAAGAGCGGTGATCAAGAATATGTTTGCAACGGCTATGCAGATGTGCTCCGGAGAAAGAGAACGATGCGAGTCGCGAGATCTGGCCTCCAAGATTGCTTGCAGCAACGGTTATCATTCTTTGCCACATGATCAACATCAGGCGAATGGTAACAAAATCCGCGATAATAAGCTCCCACTGTGCCTTCCATTTATTTCCGATAACATCAGTGCGGCAATTCGAAAATGCATTTCACGTGCACAACTGCAAAACGATATTTTTAAGTCGACATCCCAGGTGACAATATCAAAACGCAGTTAGTTCGAAACAGACTTTACGATCGATACTGTATAACAGATCGATGCGTAGGTCTGTCCGCACGGGAAAATAGGTGATTGTGCACAAATGGGAGTAGTTTATCAGTTAGAATGTCTTAGCTGCAATGCCATCTATATCGGAGAAACTGGCAGAACACTTAGTACTCGCGTAAAAGAACATCTTGCAGATAAGAGGCGTAAAACATTGTTTTCACCTCTGGGCAAACATAGCCACAATTCGCATGGTGGAGACGATTTCGATATCAAATGCCAAATCTTGGCACATGAAAAGGAAACCTCGGCAAGGAAGGCGTTAGAAGCATTCTGGATTTCTGCGAAGAATCCAGCAATGAACAATAAAAATGAGTGTTTGTCAATTACCACGGACTTTCTACCCTTCATATCTCTATGCAGACTGTAGATCACTTATGTGCTTTTATGGTATAGTCCATTCTATCCGCCAAGACCATCTCTTCCGGTGCGGAACCCCAAATAGCGGTGTTCACAGGGTATGTTCATCTTCTGGCATAGCGATTTTTACGGTAAGAATGTTGAACGAAGATTGAGAACTGGCAGTAATGTAGATGGTACTTGATGGCCTCGTTTCTCGGGTAACGCTTTGAGCCATTTTCAGGCCTCTGAGGAAGACGAAAGGCGTCGAAACGTTAGGCCGTGATTGGAAATAAAGGAACACCTAACAAACCTGTTTGGCACAGAAGTACTTCTACTATAAGAAAGAGTTTTTCATAGAAAATTTGAAAGCAAGGTGATTTCCCCGCTTGATCCCCTCTTGTGCATAAGGGGGTTCACTTCCCCTCCCCACAGGGGATCCCTTGTCCGATATTGTTATTGTCTTTGTGCAAACAGAAGTTCGCGCGGGGAGGGGAGGGGATCCCCAGCGGGGATCATTCAAATATAACGCACATCCCCTCCCCGCGGGGATGTACGTGCATACGGGCCCTAGTCTATCGCGGTGAGAATCGCGATCCTTTCAAATCAAGGCGATACAGTTTCTTATGCTTATCAAGTACAATCTCACATTTGAAGCGGAAACTGTAAGCCTTCTCACAACAAAGTTGTTATCTATGCTTCCATCTTTGCAGAATGCTCTTTGTGAGACGAACCGAGCCTCGACCAATGTATACAAGGAGACGCTCCGCAAGCGGAGGCCAGATGCTGCATCGCCACTCCAAGTAATCGTTTTCCTTTGCGCAGTCGTATTTTATTTTGCATTATACGCGCTTTCAAACCATTTTGTACACTTATCATATGCGCCTTTTTTACAAATGCCTTTTTTATAAGTGCCTCTATTGTTTAGTAGTATTGTGTATATTACCGTCATTATTGTGCATTACATATAACATGTCTTTGATACAATTTAATTACCCAAGTTTGAGATAAACCTTGCGCCGTACCGGTGTGTCGAGCAGTCCAACTAAACCGAGCCACTGAAACGCGTGCTTATAGTCAGGAATTGTTCTGTTAAGAAGCAGGAAAACAAGGGTAGAGGGATCAAGCTATGAAAGTAATAGACTTGACAGCCCAAACTTTGCAATTAATCGACAAATTTGGTAGAAATAATGTTTGTTTCCAAAAAGGATGTTGATTCATGGTCAACTCCATGATCGTGAACCATAGGTGCGATAAGGTGAGAATGACCTCTCCAGGGTGAAGGGGGTCAGAGGGGGTGGGGGGGGGGGGGGTGGGGGGGGGGGGGGGTGAGTGCGTGTGTGAATGTGGGTGTGCAATTACACACAACGCGCCGCCAGGAACGGCATCGTTCCTTTCACAACCTCATTTGCCTTTAGTAACAGTTCATGATTAAGTGTCTTCTTACATTCACAAAAGAAAGGAATCCTAGAATCAAGAACTGAAAAGAAACCAAGGAGGGTGAAATAAAGGATATCTAATTGAACCGCGAAAATGGAACACGGAGTAAATTTGCAACGTGTTCAATAATTAAGAATATCATAGTGGAAATGCATATTGAAATCAAGTGTGCATCGACAAAACTAAGAGGATTCTTGGACAGTCACGAAATTTCAAAAGAAAAATGTAACTTTTGTAGATGAACAGCTAGTACACGAAGGTGGCCACCATTGTAACCGTTTCTTCCTCTGCTTTCAGAAAATATATAGATTGTCTGGGATCCGTTGGAAAAAGTCCATGGTGAAGGGGGTGCCTAGTGATTTCTGGAGATTTTCGAGTTTTCAACATAAAAAAATTCATAACTTCCGTAGATGAACAGCTAGTACACGGAGATGCTCACCATTAGAACCGTCTCATTCTCCGCTTTCAGAAAATATATAGTTTGTAAGGGATCCCTTGCAAAAAGTGCCTGGTGAAGGAAGGGTGAGAATTTTATAACGGGAGTTCTCAGGCAGAGGCCTTTTCACCATTGTAAAAAGACGTCTACCTGAGAACTCCCGTTATAAAATTCTCACCCTTCCTTCACCAGGCACTTTTTGCAAGGGATCCCTTACAAACTATATATTTTCTGAAAGCGGAGAATGAGACGGTTCTAATGGTGAGCATCTCCGTGTACTAGCTGTTCATCTACAGAAGTTATGAATTTTTTTATGTTGAAAACTCGAAAATCTCCAGAAATCACTATGCACCCCCTTCACCATGGACTTTTTCCAACGGATCCCAGACAATCTATATATTTTCTGAAAGCAGAGGAAGAAACGGTTTCAATGGTGAGCATTTCCTTGTACTAGCTGTTCATCTACAAACGTTATGAATTTTTAATTGAATTTTTTCAAATTTTGCCTATAAATCTAAGGACATAGCTGGAAGAATGCCACGATTGCCCTTCACTTGCTTCTTGACTGTAGAGCCTACAAGTAGGTTGATAGCGTGGTCATTTTATCAGGCATAACCTTACCTCACTGTTGATTTTTTTGTCGGTTTTGGTGAAGGGGGTCACCTTGGTTTCCGGCTCAGGGGTGAAGGGGGGGGGGGGGGGGTGAGCAAATTCTCACACTATCGCACCTATGCCATCGACCACAAAAACACCATCTCGAAGTCACCCAAGTACAAATTTGTAGAGTGACTTTCTCGTTGCGGACGATCACCTCCACGTCTTCATAGGAAACGCCCAGTTGTGATTCATTAGATGCTGATACGAATTATGAAATTTCCATCTCTAATTATTTCAACTATAAAGTTGGAATTTTCCGCTTTTACAACTTCCTTCAACCTCTCGATTATGCTCGAGTACAATGGATGTGAACAAGGCCGTCAGATACGACCATCCCCCTCCCGTGAATAGTGTCTAAATAAGATCCTCAAAATTACCGTATAGCAACTACGAGCGTAACACAAATTCAAGCTTGCGTCATAACTGTAGGCTGTACCGCCCACCATCGGTTCTGGGAACCCACAGGATGAGGCTTCACGAGCGCGGCGCCTCATCTCGTGGATTTCTGCGACCGGTTGTGGTAGAACAGCCTATAGTTTCGATACTCATTCACGGGCATTTTTGTCTACAGATTGAGCCTGCGTGGCTCTCAGATCCATTGGCTCATAGATTTCGTAAGTTGTACCAGACGCAGCAAGTTTGGCACAAGCAAAGTGCGTTTACGACCAGCTATGAAGAGTTCTTGCAGTGGCAGATCGCGCAGCGACTAACTCGCGTGAGGTATGCCTTAGGTAGGTGCCAGAGTAAGCGAATATTTTGTTCGAGTTGGGGTCCCGAGCAGAATTGACGTCCCTTGGATTGACGCCAGCATGGTGAGTGGCGTCAACTCTGCGCGGACCCCAACTTGAACAAAATATTCGCTTACTCTGGCACCTACCTTAGGCCTAACAATAAGGAGTTTTTCGCTATGAATGAAAAAATGAATTTAGCCATTAGCTGTCTCCTGCAACGACTACTGTACACAAATATATGCAATAATATGTGCTTAAGGAGCAAATTAATCGCAATGACGGCACCTGTTCGAGAATTCCCTTATCTGTTCAAGGTTGGTTGGTAGTCCACCTGTCAGGGGCGCCATCCTTGCAGATGACCGCATTTACTACCATTCAGATATTGAGTACGAAATGATAGGCACTGAGGCTTGAATGGTGATAGTTGAGTCGCTTATGTCAGTTAAAAGTTTCATTAATGTACGCGTAGAAATCTGACTGCCAAGATGAAGTGATTTGATCACTTCATCTTTGCAGTCAGCCACTCAATCGGAAATTCGTAGCGTATAGGACTTTAAACTTGAATTAAGGAAATTTTTATTCAAACGAGAATCAATTAAAAGTTGCAGACAGTTAGTCTTTGCTGTCAAAATACACAGGTAAATGAACTCCCCAAGAGGTTCAGTATCAAACGACCAAATTAGGATGAAATAGAGAAAGGTCAAATAAGGTTTACAAGAGACGACACGCCGAACGGATAAATCGACAACACCGAAAGAACACAGCTGTAGGAACGACGATGGGCAATCTCGTATTTATCTCCTTTTATTATACTTGTTTCTTCCACCACGTCCGGAAGCTTTCAAACCTCGCCCACGTGCCAGATCCTCTTCATTTATGAAATTGTCAGCTCCCTCATCACCTAAATGAACGTATTCGGATTACAAGGAAATGAGGAAGACATAGAGCATTCTATGGCATCGGCACTCACTTTCACTTGATTCCTCATCTTCTTCACTTTCCTCTTCTTCGTCTTCATCACTTCCGCTGGAGGGCAAATTGTTGCCTTCCTCCACGCCTTCTTCATCTCCAGACTCAGCACCAAGGTCTCCTGATATGAAGCATTGAAAGTCTGCATAAACAAAAACATAAGCAATATTCTCACGGAATTCAATCTCTCCTTCCTCTTGTTCGTCATTCTCATTGATTTTGGCGTGTTCAGGCAACTCATTCTTTTCCTTCAATCGTCTAGCTTCATCTGGTGTGTACTTCAGGATAACGTCACCCTGAATAGGTCGCAATAATAATTACATATGACACAATTTTCCACAAATACAAGCTCAACGTGGTATCCCTGCAATGACAACAGGATTCACTATGAGACCAGTTAATCCTGACTGCCCAGACTACCTAGATTTCTCCACTATACCCTGACAATTCTCTCGCACACACTTGTAACATTACGATAGTGTATTCCTTGAATAAATTAGGTACTGATGTGAGTAAACCATATTGCTGCCCAGATACGACATAGCTTCACATTTTAAGCTCAGATACATCTCGCACCTTACCGCTTCAAGGATCGGCAGCTATAAGGAACAGGATATCCAGTAGCAGCGTGAAAGTGAACCTCCGCGTTCGCCTACACCCACTCCCCCCAAACCCACAAGATATCCGCCTTACGGCAAAAAGCCAACCTAGGAGAGGTTCTACTAATCTAATGACGATGTATCGTCGATTCATGACACGCAAAGACTGGACGCCGTTGTGTCCGACGAAGATGGTTTGCGCATAAGAGAGACAGCAGACGGTAAGAGAAATGAAAGAGCGCACGATCACGGAGACGCCGATATGTCCGCAGTCTTTGCGTGCTATGAATCGCCTATACCACTGAGCACGCCCATGAAATTGTCAGGAGAGATTCCTCAAGAAACCATAAATGCACGACCACTCCCCAATGAGGAAGAGAAAGATCAATATCCATCATTTCATGTAACAGTATTGAACAATTATCATCAAAACGCGCTGAATGACACAACAGACTACGTCGACCCGAACTTTCTAAATCACTTATAAACAAAAATTCCATTCTGTATTTTACCGAGCGATGAAATCCGGGATTTGATAACCACAAGAACCTAGAAAAGACTGCTACTAACAATGCGCAGTACAATATTGTGCTCGCTATGTTTGTTGTCGGACCAAAAGCAAACCACTTAATCCTCTTAGCAACTGATTTCTTTAACGCATCTAAGCGGAAAAAAAGGGAATCTAAAAAACTCAAAATATGAATGACAGTTTGATTATGAAGGTAGCGTTCCCACAATATCTACTAACTCGTTTTCGATCTGCGAGAATACTCGGTAGCAATCCAAGTGAAAAAATAAATGGAAAATAATAAAAACAATTTGAAAGACGTTATTTCTATCCACCTAAATACAGTTTGCTAAAAACTTTAAGAAAACCAAAGTAGATAGTGGCTCACTTTGTCATCTTGGTAATCCCTGAGCCCAACAAGGATGATATCTCCGGTATTGATCCAAACCTTCTTTCGCAATTTTCCGCGAATGTGACACACCCTTTGTTTTCCATCGAAACAAAATGCCAGCACTCTTCCGTTCCCTAACATCTTCGAAACCTGCCCATACTCTAAAACACTGTATTTGCAATGGGATCATTCTATAAAACAAGATATAACCTTGTCCAACGTCTTTTGTGTCCAATTCGCGTTTCATAAAATCATTCTCGTTCTTTCCTCTTCTTCTATTTTTACCTCCTTTTCCCTTATTCTTCGGCATGCTGATTTATCACTCCTGTAAAGATATCTAAATGACGGTCGAAATTAACCAGAACAAGCAAACTTTCTAGGGAATGCTGAAACTGCAAGGCTTCAAAACATGAACAAATCCACCAGATGTTCTGAGCCATCCAGAAAGTGTTGTTTCTATGTGATTTGTCACCAAGAAAAAACGTAAAAGAGAACGATTCAAAGATACAACGAATCTCGTGTGCAATGTGATGCAAACAACAGAAATGCAATGAAATCGAGAACTCGTCCTTCTCCGCCCATGGCGAGTCGGACGAAAACGAAAACACGTGAATGCGACGCCTTTTCAGTGTTCAAATTGTAAACTACTCTATCGGAAGAGGACACTACTCTATTCTTAGTTGCTAATATTTATCACTGAAAAAACCTTTGTTATTTCAAAAGCTCGTACTCGAATCTCTGGTGATAAAAGGTGAAGGTACCCTTTCGGTGCCATGGGCATTTCACAGAGATATTTCAACCATTCAACCATTACATCCAGTCTGGTGGCACCATGTTTCGAGCGAATAGCTAGACTCAAGGAAAAATCAGTTCGCTTCTTCTCTGTACGAGTCGCATCAAAAAATGCGCACAACTGGGAAGCTAAATTTCAGGCGCGGCCTACGTACTGCGTATTGTCGTTGGGGTATGATTAAAAGTTTTCGAAATTTGGATATCATGTTCCGTGTGGTTCTTCCTTCTCAATCGGTTTGGTAGCACTGATTAGTGGTAGCATAGTCTAGATTCATTACTTCTTATTGGGTTGAATAAGGGGGGAGGTTTTGAAAAGCACAGGTGCTGCTGAAGAGTGAGATGTCATCATCTTGCTGCAAGTGTTTGCTCGGAGGAAGCTCATAAAGCTCTTGAAATCAACAATGACTGATCCAGTGTTTTGTATCACTTGGGGAGGGGGGGGGGAGGGAACTGTTGGACTGAAGGTAATGGTTACAAGTTAAGCGTGCAAATCCACTTTTTTACCGCGAGTAGCAAAGTCTTTATTTAGATATTCTTCTGCATGTCAAAATGTATGTCTTCTGGTTGTATAAGATCATGTACCAACCGTTCACATTGGGGACTAAGGACATGTCAGTAAACTGTGATTGATCAGCTTTGTCCTAGAATCTGTTGTTCTTTTAGTGCGTCATTTACTCCATTCCCCATAAATTACTCTTTTCAAGCAATGAACTTTCCTCCACTAAGAATCTCATGTGATCGTTTATAGTTATTCAATTGATGGGCGATTCGCAAAACTCATTGGCTAGCACGCAACCATCAGAGTCGGACGATCTTGGTGTTATTCAAGAAAGTGTGATTCAGGACACTACTACTAAAGGCGAAGTTCCGCAGGCGGGCACGCTCTTCTACTATCTTGATCTCCTAATCACAAATATCTCGCAAAAGTACGACATTGATAGGATCCAGGTACGCATCTTTATCATATTTATGCTTTTATTCATTGCATATAGAGCACACAGTTATAGGTAACTAAGATGATTAGTAGGCTTCTGCGTTTGCAGGGCGAAGTCAGACATTGGCTGCACCATACTTCCCTCTGTGGTTGTCCGCACTATCTTCTTTGCACAACTCGTTCTTCGCTAGATTCTAGGAGTGCAGTTGCAAAGACATATGATCCATCACATTTCTTGTCACGTCATTGCGGCATACTCCACTGAAGCACGGCGATCTGTGCTTGCCTATCCACAATAATCCACAATAATAAAAAATGTTAAAAAATGTATTTAATCTGACTGAATCCAGCTAAATAATTGCCGAAGTTCCACTTCAACAAGTGTATTCCGCGGCAAAAAATTGCCTCAGAAGATGGGTCCTGCAGAGGTCGCCACGCCCATCAACGTGTGTGGTCTAAACCAACCCTAAACCAACAAATGCCAGAATGAAAACTGGAGTCGAGACTACCAAGAAATTCAAAAAGATTCTATCACGATGATAGATTTTCGCATCGCTATGCTATTGACAGTTCTAGGCTCGATACCTTTCATTACCTTCAATCAACCCACAGGGGTGTGACGCCCCAGCAGCTACTGTCTTCTGGAGCTTTTCTCTCGTCTCGGACCACACTTTTTGTAGAATCGAGAATTAGTCAGTCAAGAGCCTCGCTATTATACAGCGTTGAAATCTTACTAACCTTTTGTACTTGAAAGTACCGTCCAGATGAACGGTGCGGATTAGAGGCACTGTCTCCCAGGCACTTAGGGCCGCATGCACTAACATGGCCGCGGGGAGGGGATCGCAGCTCAAAAAAAAGCTTCATATTTCAAAACTCCAGATACTTGGATTTCACGTTGTGTACCTATCCGTAAGTATTCCTACTACCCTTCACTATGAACATGTTGAACAGGAGCGAGAAGCTGTACAAACCGCATTTTCTAGCTTTAGTATGATCCCTGATGATCCCCGGCGCTTTTCTTTGAAGTCATTTTTCTTTCTCCGAAGTCAACGAAAAACTTCCGAAGTTGTGCAGATTATCTAACCCAACAGTGCTAAGCATGTTGCTGATAAGAACAAATGATGTTTTGAAGTCATGAAATTTCCGATGATCCACAGGTCGAAATTTGGGGTATACCGAAAAATTCGATTTTTCAAAAATTCATTTGTTCTCATCAGCAACATGCTTAGCACTGTTGAATTAGATGTTCAATATAACTTTGATAAGTTTTCGTTAACTTCGGAGAAAGAAAAATGACTTTGAAGAATAGATGTTCGTCCCCCAGGGATCATCAGGGGATCCTACAAAAAGCTGGGAAATGCGGCTTGTACAGCTTCTCGCTTCTGCTCAATATGTTCATAGTGAAGGATGGTGGGAGTACTTACGGACAGGTAGACGGCGTGAAATCCAGATATCCGGAGCTTCAGGATATGAAGCTTTCTTCAGAAGCTGCGATCCCCTCCCCAGCGGAAATGTTAGTGCATGCGGCCCTTAGTGGCACCGCCTAGTTGGCGCGTGACTAGAAGCACAGTCATCCGACCAAATCTCGAAAAACTAGTTGCTACTGCTTTTGTTCCTCGATGTCATTAACACCGCGATAGCTGGAATCATCAGTTTGAATATAATTTCCGCAAATATTCTGGACTTTTTAGTTTTATTTTTGCAAGCGATGTTTATGTTTCGCGATTGTTTTCAAAAAATTTCAGATAAGTCTACTCCTGCTCCTACTCTTCCTGCTTGCATCGTTCTGCCTTTGCATTGCTATTGCTTGGCGGTATTACTCACCCATAATCATCGACTTCGCTCTCAAAGAGGAACAGGAAAGAGTGCGCAGAAACAGCGAAAGAGACAAGCAGGATAGAGAAAAGAGTAGGCGTTATACATTATTCGACCGTTGTAACCTTCATAGTTGCAATATTCATTATGTATTATACAGAAAACGAGTAACCATGGACGCTTTCAAAAATTTTCTCAAGAAGAAGAAAGTTGAGAAGCACTTCAAGAAATCGGGCCCAGGCCAAAAACTTGATACTGGCTCAAGCACTCCTGTCCCAAGCATAACCGCTGGTGCTGCGCAGGTATGTTCTATATTACGAATTCAGGTATTCTCGGTAAGGCTTTTGTTTTTTAGGGTGGCGGAATTGATCGTATCGCTGCCTCCGACATTGCCGCGCAAGCTGCTATGAAAAGACTGTACAAGGAGCCTCCTAAAATTAGTAGTAGCCAGAAGAAAATCCAAATGATTGTAAGATTTTGAGTTTATCTTCATGAGTCGTTTCTTTTTTGTTTCTACATACAGTTGAAAGTGGGCAATGCTCTAAATCACCGAATGTCTAGGCCCAACGTGAACTGGAGGAAGAACGACGTCGTCAAGATCCCAATTATGCCATGGAACAACTAGGCTTGCAGGAAAAAAGGTAGCTTCATCTAGCTACACCTTCATGTTGGAGCGGAATTATTACTTCTGAACATCGCATTTTTTTCATTTGTTGTTCGATATTTGATCGCTTAGTATGCAAGACCAATCTGATAATAAAGAATATTCATTAATTTTTCGCCTCCTCAAAATTTTATAACATTCTGATGTCACCACACCGATCTTATGTCTTCTTCTTAAATTTATCCCAATCCGTCAACGAATTGCCTGCCTAGAATTTATGTGCCTTGTTCAGACCTGGTCCCGAAGTTCGCGAGTTTGAGCACGCTGATGTCATCAAGGGCGTTTACTTCACTTGTGAGCTGCTCGGAGGCGATGAGGCTATGACAAAGCCTGATGTATGTCTTATCATTCATATGTTTATCCATTACTAATTGTATTGTTATTTGCCTTTATTCTAAGGCCCGTATGCACGTACATCCCCGCGGGGAGGGGAGGGGATCTGAGAGGGGAAGCGTCATATTTCGCTAGTCCATATATCTTTCTTCTTCTTTCTCTATCTTGCTTTTGAAGGTTCTCATACACTCATATTTGCGCATAATGGATGCCAGGTTACTGCCATACAAGATTAGATGTTCACTATTTTGTCTGATCCCCCGGGGATCCCCAGGGGATCACCTCATGTTTCCAAAGTCATTTATCTTCCTGGAAACTCAATGAAAATGCTCTAAAATTGTACCGAGGATATACTACAGCACTGCTAAACATGCTTATGGTAGAAATGAGTGAAATCTCAAGATATCAAAATTTTCGATAAACCGCTGCTCGCGAGCCAGGGATTATCGAAAAAATCAAAATCTTCAGATTCCATTTCTTCTGTCGAAAACATGCTCAGCAGTATCGTAATATATCTTCAGTACAATTTTGCAGCGTTTTCATTGATTTTCCAGGAAGATAAATGACTTTGAAAATGTGGGGTGATCCCCTGGGGATCCCCAGGGGATCAGACAAAATAATGAATATCTAATCTTGTATGGAAGTAATCTGGCATCCATTATGCGCAAATATCAGTGTATGAGAACCTTCAAAAGCAAGATAGAGAAAGAAGAAGAAAGATATATGGACTAGCGAGATATGACGCTTCTCCTCTCAGATCCCCTCCCCTCCCCGCGGGGATGTACGTGCATACGGGCCTTAATGTCTCTACTTTCTGTGTATGATTTAGATGTACTCAACATAATTGCAGCTCATGCAAGCTCTCGAAGAGTTCCTGATTTCTCACTTATCAACCAAGGATGAGGATACGGTGGTGCCTGCGGTACTCCTTTTATACTCGCTCAATAAAAAACAGCCTAAGGAGGTATGCACTTTTTTTGCTAGGATGATTTTCTGAATCTCATATTGTTTTAGACCGCCGTGGAGACGATTGGAAAATATCTGCAAAACATTATCGAAAACCCAGAAGAACCAAAGTTTAGAAGAATTCGCCTATCGAACAAGGCATTCCAGGTTTCGTGTATGAAAAGTTACATGCTGTTGTGAATGTAATATTGTTTTCTATCCAGGAACGAGTTGCTGCTGTGAAAGGTGGTCGCGAGTTTCTCACTGCTGTCGGCTTCGAAGAGAAGATGCAACCCTTCAAGGAAGGAGATGAACCGGAACCTTTCCTTGTTATGAATGAAGAAGCAGCTCTCAATACTGGCAAACTTATAGCCGCTCTGGAAATGTTGCGAGATGGTCAGAGTGTTCCGATAAAGGTGTCGAGAGAAACTTCCGTAAGTTCTATAACTTCATTATCTCATATGTGATTATAGTTGCATTCATTATCATTCCTAGATTTTTGCGTTACGGGAAAACGAACGCGTTCCTGTACCGAGGTTGCCACCTGACTTCTTCGATCTGACGCCGGAGGAAATCAAGCGAGAGCAGCAGATGAGAACGGAAGAAATGAACAGGGTAAGCATCACTACTGCAATAGTGCGAATTAATTTTAGCGTTTTTTAACACTAAAAGCTTCGAACTTGTTGGCGAGGCTGCTGAACGGTAAATGTCTGTTGTTTTGGCATCACTTTTCTGTTTATCGTGTTCACTATCACCCTCATAAATAGAGAATGGTAGTCGCTCGCGTTATGTTTATGTGTTCGACCAAAGGATCATATACTGACAGCTGTTAGGTTCCTACTCGAATTATGGCACAGACTGCAAGATGCAGTGATTGATAATTTACTGAATGTTCGCAAAGAAGTGTTGTATAGCTCCTCTCAATCTGAGCACATGCGAGAAATCCTGTTTTTAGAACTTGATGTTGCGTACAAGAGAAATGCGTGAAAGGGACGAAAAACTACGTCAATATACATACAAGTACACTCTGGTTCGTATCCGTCTCCCCGACCGATACGTACTTCAGGTATTCACGATCTGTTTACCATCTCTTTCCACTTCACAGTTTCACACTTTGCAGGGAACTTTTGGCTGTTACGAGCCCTTATCCGCTGTGCGAGAGTACGTCGCCAAACATCTCGCGAATGAGGCTGCGCTGTTCTCGCTGCGAAATCCAGTGAAAGGTGGTGAACCGCTTGGAGATGAGTCAAAGACCCTAGCTGCACTTGGACTAGCTCCTGCTGTTGTGCTTCATCTTGATTTTGATGAACCCATGAATGGTCCCAGTTTGTCGCAAGAATATATCGACGCTGCTGTTCCTCTCGCTGTACATTAGGTTGCTTTTTCAGTCATTCACTTAATTCATCATCCAGTGACTATTTTTGGCCGGGTTTGGAATATGTGCTTATTCTATAACAGTCAGAGTTGTTAGAGGTATCTGTTTTATTTTTGTTTTTGCTAATGTTGTATCGCTTTATACCAAATCATCCTCATCTAACACATTCATGACTACTACAGTCTAGTGTCTACTTTTTTCAGTAATATTCTTATCCTTTCCACTCTAATATTTCAAAGGATATGCGATATAATTGTTTCATTGGTCATAATAAGATCTTTTTGCATCTGTAAACAGTTTGTACACTAGTTAATCACGTGATATACTGATTTCATTTATTGGATAATCCGCTTTTATGTTAATTAAAATGTCATTTTAGTAATGCTCAGTCTTTGTTTATAGTATGACCTTTACCTTATCAGATAATGACAGCGCAACCGACGCACGATACAGTCACTCTGAAGAATGTCACTGGGGAAAGTGGTGAATATTTTCTTTGGAACATCTTTACGAGCTGACGTTACCGCTGATGCGGAATACTAATTTCCGATATAATTCGCTAGGCACAGGTGATGGGTGCGATTGATTCGTTTTAGTGCTACGCTTGAACGACAGTCGATTGTGCGTTTCAAAGACTGCAGGGACTATATCATTCATTCTCTGATTAGGAGACGCGAGCACGCTTTTACATTTTATTGACTAGTTCATGAAGGAGTTTTAACGCGATTTTTTAAATTTACTATTGGGTAGAATATGTGGAAGAACATAGGCATTTCAGCTCGTTAGCTAGCTCAAACACAACGTTCTTTCAGCGATTTCCTGATAGTAATTAACCAAAACTGGTTAGAACTTATCCGTGAATTTGCTGATCAAACGTACGCAAAGCGCGCTCACGTCTCTTAGTCAAAGAATGATTGATATATGATTCACTGCGGCGTTCGCATGATATTCGCATCATGCTAGTGATTAGAACTCGTTCTAGGTGGGTGGCAACGCAGATTAGGTTTCTACACACGTTCGGGGTTTCGGAGAGGCTCTTTTCAAAGTAGCGAGATGCGCTAGCTATTCTGTTATCATAGTGCCTGGCAGTCCATGTGTGGTGTACAGCCCATTCTCACCCGCCCTTGATTCTCCATCATATCCACATTCAAGTGCAGATAAGTTGAGTTGATGGTATTCTAGTTCACATGCTAAGGCGTCACAGAGTTGAATGCAAGACGGCAAAAAGCCTCCACTGAAATCTCGCGTTGTAGAATTTCAAAAGAAGTGGCTTTGGTTGGCAGTTGCTTACGAAATGCATTCAGAATTTTTTTTCAATAATTAGCATTTAGGCTCTATACTGCTCCTGAATTCGACGAAGAACCAGAAGAAACCTGTCATCGAACCTGTTCAGCCTTCAGGTATTTTGGGAAAGTAAGTGCAAAGTGGACTTTCACTGAGGCACGAGCCATACTGTTCCACTTGATCATGACCCACTTCGTATTGCTTAAATCAGTGAAATGACCAGTGGCGAAGCGGATATCCTTTTGATCCACTTAATTGACTTGATCCACTTCGCTATCGTTCGTTTCACCGATTTGACCGTAGCGGAGTGGATGAAGTGGATCAAGTATGGCGTGTGACCTACTTCCACATGTTTTGTTCAGTGCCGTTCAAACTGCCGCATATGTTATTTTTTCTTGGTCTCATTGAGTGTAGTTTGCTTTCTTGTTGTTCGTTTTTCGTGTGCTAGCGATATCACCCTTATGCTCGAAAGTAGCTTATAGAGCTCAAAAAATCATTATACATGCTGTCCTAGAAATGTATACACTGTTTGATTACTGGTAACTTTTTTGCCGTAATGCTTTTGGTAAACTCGCGGGTATTATTCTGTAGGTGTAGGGCTCTGCGTGATCGCGAGAGTCGCTGTTTGCGGCCATTGCTTGCGCACTGAGCTTTCTTAGCTCTCCCTCTTATTTCTATTTCTTTTCTGCTATAAGATATTGCTCACATCACCTGCAGCGATCTTGAAAAGTGGTTAATTAATTGATTTGATAACCTGATAACTCTAAATCAACTAAACTGCGTATACAATGACCGCAAACTCACTTACTCTCACAATCACGCAGAGTCTACATGGCTTCGTTTACACTTATCTTAAAGTTCCCCGTTACTGTAGGACTGCGGTAAGAACACAGTAGGTTCTTTTTCCTCGTGGGCATTCTTGCCTCGAGGAAAGAAAGATTGCAAGAAAATTGAAGTAACTCTACAGAATGGTCTTCCTAGGTTCGCTAAAATCCTCAAGGCAGGAGAGTTAAAATCGAACAGTATGTACATGCTTCTTGGTGCCGACTCTTTGAAATGCTTAGAATGCGTTATCCGCTCGAATTGGGGATGCACTTTTGGTGCAGTTGTATCGAAACTTGTTGGTATATTGTTTTCTTTTTCACTTCATCGCGTTGCAGATTGAGGTCCTTCCTGCCAAAAATAGCTACAGCAAATCAGGAACTGAATAGAAGTGGTGCTGAGAAGCTGGATGTCGATGTCACGAAGGTAGAGTCAGATATCGACGAAAGCGATACGAGCACTGATGATGCTGACAGTAGCGAAGAACTCGAGAGCAACGAGGTACATCAAATAAAATCAATCGAATCATGCCTGACAACTAGAGATGATGTTTCTAATGCTACTATCATTTTCCACCATTGCCTCAGAGAAAATGTTGAGATGATGAATATTCATTTTTGTAGGATGAGAAGCCTAAAGTTGAATTCAACTTATCGCTATTTCGTGCTGCTAAAACGGGCGATGAAAACGACATAGACCTCAAACCAGAAGTTGAACAAGTGCCGGAAGGATTTCGAGAGGCTGGCGATTCCCAATCTTGCAGTGATTCCCCCGTTGGAAAGAGGCCCAAGCGGCTAGTAGAAGAACTGTAAAAACTACTTCATTCAAGGTTTTTCACGTATGTCATTGCTTATTGGGAACAGCTATGAAAGCATTGTACCTCTTACCTTCAGGGCCGTTCTGTGACACTAAACTTGTGATGTTTGTATAGTCCATTTTCCACTGGATTGTTTCAGTACTACCTAGCAACATTTGTTCGTCATGCATTCAAGTAATTTTGTTCAGGCTAACAATCGGGTCGTAAAATTGGAATTATATTGAAAGTTTCTTCGGTTGTGTCAAAAGCTGCTTTCAGACTCCCTTCCTTCTGTATGCTCCTAGAAGCCACATTGACACGTGTTGATATCCCTTCTTGACACATTTTGAAATCCTTTCACTTCGTTAACGTTTAGTCCAGACTGATTAGTCTATAGTCATAAATGTTTTCAGAATTGTTCATAAATTAGCACGTTCTTTGGTTTACATCCAAGCCGTGTTTTGATCAAGAATAATCTTGCGCTTATTGTGTCGTTATCTTATGTGATATTATGTTGCTGTCAGTCAGACGACTCAGTATGGCGATTTTCTTTAGCTCGAACAATCCTTTCTCTAAATATGGGGAGAACGCGGCAAGGTTTTTTCATGAAATAAATGACGGATGCTCGATGCTCGTTTAGTGAATGGAGTAATGTCCACTGCACTGACGGTGGTAGAACTTGCACGAGGAAACAAAATGTTACTCACTATGAAAATAAAACTGAAATATTACATGCAGAACATCATGCATGAGGCCCAGGGTCACAACCAGGGTTGTAATTTATCTACATGCCGTCGCAAACTACAGTTGTCACTACATTTTTCAAAGAATTTCCTAGTTGCGTATGAGTTCGTGTAAGAACTTGCTTCTTTTAAATTATCGCAGTTATTTTATGAAATTCATGGCAACTCAAAACTCTAGGAAATTTTTTTTGGGGGGGGGGGTGTATTTCCATGACAGGGTCATCATTTCTTGAATAATCAAATCTGACATGTGCCTTCCAATATTTTTTTTTATTTGTTCCCATCTCACCCTTTCGTAGAAACTTCCGTAATTTGATTAAGAATTCAAACTGTAGATCACTTTAGATCTCTTCTCTCTCTCTCTCTCTCTCTTTCTCAGAATTCATTTTTTTAAGAGAAAAAACCTCATTCATCTCGCTCATCTAATGATTGCGATATAACTCTTGTCTGCTTCACGAAATTAGCTTTGCAGATCACATGCCTTGTTTTGGCTGACATAGAAATAGCCATCATCTTTCGTTACCTACAGGTTTTTTAAAGCTGTGAGAAGTGTTAGTACAATTTCCAAAAAGTTGACCTGATATATTAGGTCGTTCCGAAAGTAATGTCGCATTTTTCAAATGAACGCCGCATTTCGTGGAACCAAGATTTTAAAGAGCTCTTGGAATCAGTCGATGCAGAATTTTGTCCTCTTTCTAATGGTTGTAACCACTTTGCAAAATATTCAATGAGCTCTCAAAAAATTACCAAAAGCTGCGACTCATGCTTTTCGCCATGGTCAAGTTCGGCTATTTTTCTATATCTTTGTAGTGATTCCCCGAAGATCTGCAAGTAACGGATAAATAGAGCAAACCCTATAGGGCACAAAACAATTTTTTTCTTTTCTTTAGTTTGCTTCTTAGAGTTTGTAGAATCAATTTTTCAATGCTATCAAATTTTATATTTGGTCAACTCAAACCTCACGGAACAATAACCGGCAAGCAACTCGCGTGTCATTCGATGCAGCTTTTTCTCCTCTTTTTACCGGTTGTTTTTGGTTTCCGATTTATAAAGTTTGCCGGGAAAAAATCATCATAATTCAGATTTTCCAGAGCGCCCCAGGCTGAACCCAAAATTTCCGAAAGTTGCTAATCTGAAGCGGTAAATGCTCATATGCTTTGTAAAATTAGTGTTAAACCATAATCCACCTTTGTAAGCTTCAGAATCCGAAAGTTTATTGGTGTTTGATGCATATGCTTTTGAGACAAGCCTACAAAAATTTGGTGACTTCATTGAAAAATCTCTACAAAAATTAGGACAAGATACGGAAAGCAGAAAAAAATGGCACCGTTTCCTATAGGGTTTGCTCTATCCATCCATCACTTGGACTCCTTCCGGGAGTTATTAGAAAAAGTTAGAAAAAATTGTGAAATTGACCTTTCCAAAAAGCATGGGTTGGAGGATTTTAGTTATTTTTCAAAAGCTCATTGAGTATTCTGCAGTGAATTTATAGCCGTAAGAAAGAGAATGAAATGATGCATCGAATGCTACCAAGATCTCCTAGAAACCTTGCTTCCACGAAGTGTAGCATTCACTTGAAAAAAGCGACATTACTTTCGGAACGACCTAATAGTTTTGATGATCTTGTCTTGAAGCACCGAGTTTGTACTGTATATGTTTTTTTTAATTACTGTTAAGTCGCGTGACCTAATCAGTGACACTTTGCGGGCATTTTCGAATTTGCCTTGCACTCAGTCTTCTGTTCATCTAAAATTCGTCTTTCAAACATTTTATGTCACTATCCCGCACTTTGTCCCTCTTTTTCTGAAAACATTTGATGTCACTATCTCGCATGGTCTTTGTCCCACTTTTTTTGAAAGGATCGTTGCCTATGTAGATCGCATCAGATTTGACTCATCTGTCTTTGTGCTCTGTATTCGCTGATTCACCCATTGCAATCGTGCATGTTGCCGTGAATAAATCTGCGTGCAGCAAAATTTTTGTAAAGATATTGCAGCGTTTTGACATTCTTCTGCTACTACGGCGCCCCATACTTTCCATGGCTATGAGCTCAACCTCAACCACGGCCGCGGAGCACGACGTCCGAGCACTTGAGAAATTGAAGGATATCTATGGGGATTTGGCTCAAGTTTCCGTGCCATCGTTTGGACGCATCAAACGCAATGGGAAAATTATAGAGGTGTGAATGTTGTACTAAGCGCTGTTCCTTTATTTATCGCTTATGTCCAGGTGACTTCTATCTGGGAAAATCACGCCCTCGCTCTAAAAAAGAGCACCAAGACCCAGCGTTCATCTGTGCTTGAGCACATAGATGGTACAAAAGAACTTCGCTTGATATCTACAACTTCTCTTCCTTTGACGAGCTTCGAGTGAGAATTTCTCCTCTACCTATTTTGACCAGTAAAACTTTGTTTTCAGAGCGCAAGCAATTGCATATTCGCCAAGTAACTCTATGGTGGCTCAGATTATCACGATTCCAGATGGAAAGGAAAAGAAGCAGTACCTGAGGGTTGGTAATTTTTTTTGAAGCGTTAGGGAGTGATGGCTATGATATTCCAGGTCTTTGATCAAAATGAGCACGTAGAGGTTTTGTGTTCTGATTTGAGTGGTCAGAAGAAGCACGGAATCATCTATGGAGGAGGTTCAGGTTTGTAAAATCATTTTGATCTAGAATCACAATCCGGATTTATCTCACATGAAATAGGCCAATTCATTTGGTTTCCAGACTGCATAGGCTCTACTCTTGCAAATAGCATATTGATCATGCAAGAAACTTTGTACTGCATCCTCTTGCATTGTTTTCTGGTACATTGCTATTTGAAAAAAATTTGAAGTTCTATCACAGAAGCACAAAAAGGATATCTTTTTTGGTATCTTGTTTGTGCTAACCAGGGCTCTCCCTTTGATTTACTTTTCTGCAACTACTTCCAGCCGTATTTAACCCAGTGAAACCTTTCTTGCAGCTCCCTTCGTTTCTTTACGATTTTCTCACGGAGAGGGACATGTGTTGTATTGCGCTGAGAGGAAAGTCAAAACTGCCGAGTACTACGACGCTGACCTGGAATGGGACAACGATGAGAAAATACTGGAAAGTAATGTGGTCAGTTTGGTCATATCAAAAGGCAATATATAAAAAACAACTTTTGCATCCGATAGTTCCCTCTTTCCAGGGAAAGAAGTTCGAGCTTCGCGAATCTTGGGGCGAATCATGCGCAGAAGTCAAAGAACCTGTCCTATGCATTGTGGATATTTCATCGGGCATTGTCACTGTACTCGATCAAATACCACCTGAGATCTCACCTACTTTTGTGAGTTTGTATAGCTTTTCTGATATAGCATAATCCCTAGTAGGCGAAGTTTCCTTTTTTTTCGAGTCAAGTTCTATAGGATTTCCTGAAGTGCGAATTTTTCTCTTTCAGGCGATATGGGCACCAGACGATGCTGGCATCGTTTTCTTCGGGCTCCACAATGATCCGTTCAAACTTGGAAGAATCGCTTGCAATAACAGGCCGTACGTTGTTGCTTTGCTAAAGTTTGCAAGAGTTGAGGAATAATGCTGTTCCAGTGGCTCCATGTACTATTACGAACTGAGCTCAGCTAAACTTCGTGTTATCGGTGACGAAAATATCGCTGCAGAACATCCGTCTTTCTCGCCTGATGGTCAGACACTTGTATATTTCCAGCGACTTGCTGATGGTCCCCATCAGGCTGTGATGGAGTGCGTGAAGGTTCGTTTCTATCTTGCTACTCACGATCCTAGAGTTTTTATCTACGTGGATGACTTTCATGACGGGGACCCCAAAAAGTTTGATAAAACAGTATCAAAACCTGACGTAGTACACATGCGATTACACAACTGTGGAGTTCAACGGTTTGCTGGCGGTTTCATGCTGATAATTTTGAAAAAAATGTGTAGAAATATGGATAGAAATCACGATTGATAGTTGAAAATTCTTAAATCTGAGAGAATGTTAGTAATTGAGAAAAAATCCCATTTGCTGGAAGATTCCAGAGTTTTCATAGTGTATCTGGTTATGAACTGGATGTTATGAAACCGCAGAAGTTGTGAATTTTTTTGAGTTCATATTCTGAAAATTTTCTAAAAAACTGATCTCCATTGATTCGCAGAATCTTCATAATGGATTTTTACCCTTAGAAAGCTGACAAATATACCAAAAATCTAAGATAGAACTCCTGATTTGATGCTTTGTAGGTACCTTGGCCTTATGATAACTCTGCACCTACTGTGATGGTGCCTATCGTTCAAGAAGCACCCCAAGACAAGGATTTTCCCGGCTTTTCTTTCGTACAGAAAACTCCACGATGCTGGACCGCAGACGGGGAGCGCATGGTAGTTGGTACAGCGTGGCGCAGCAAAATGGTATATAGTACAAGTTTTTTTTTTGGTTAAAAAATACTTTCGATTGATTTTCCAGGAACTTGTATCCGTTGACATCAGCAGCGGCCTTGTGAGTAGGCTAACAAATCATGGTCAATGTCACGGATCGTGGCAAGTGGCCGATGTATTTGGAGATGAAGTTCTAGCTGTAGTATCCGCACCGAATAGACCCCCTGCACTTCTTTTGGGCACATTACCTGCGAGAGAGGAGGAAGATAAAGTAAGCGTGATGTTTATTGCTAGTTTTTTCATCTTACCAATTCTGTTTTAGATGGTTTGGACCCGTTTGGACAACTGTTCCATCATTGAGAACCGTAAAAATCTTTTGAACTACTCATGGAAATTGATAGGACTTCAGAGAACAGGTAGGAGAAGGGAGCTTCGCGAGACATGCAGCACTCAAGAATGACTGGAAAAGAGTTTACAAAGGGAGTGTTGCCATGGTCTGTGGACTTCATGAAACAAACTGCGTGTATCGATCAGAAGTTACTTCTATACCTATCTGGGGCAGTCCCAAGATTTTCATTCGATGGGGCGGGCGACTAAAATTTCTCGTTGTCAGTCACACACCGAAATTATTTTCAGAATGCTTTTCAAAATTTTTGGTGCAGACCCTTTTGGAAGTTCGGCAAAATTTTTTTACAAGGCGTATTTGAATTTTTATATAGGTTTAGAAATTCATTCTAACTATTTGCAAGTATCTATAAGCCACTTGCACATATTTATAACTCATGCGAGCAACTCAAAAAAATTCACGACCCAATCTTGGGGCATTCTTGACTCTCTCATTCTGCTCTCATATTCGCTTATATAAGCCAAAAAATCTACGGTTTATCGCTAATTGAAAATTTTGATTTTTTGATTTACATTGGTCTACGAAGCGTAGCCAAAAAGTATTATAGTGTTAAACTTGTTGTGGTCTTTCTTTCTTGTCAAAAATTTCATGGAGTAGAGCGAACAAGAATTCTCGAGATTAAGCTTGCGTTAGAGCACTTGAGATGCTTTTGAAGTCATACATTGAGAGAAGATGTGAGTATGAGAGCTTTGAAAATCACCTCAATTAAAAAACTCTTCATCTTTGACTACGATGTTTTTTCAAACAAATCTGCAAAAACCGCTTCGTCACCATTGCACACATTTATAGCTGTTTTCTTCTCATGAAGATAATATCTACAAGTGGAGGTTTTCAAAGAAAAATTTTGGCAGTCTTAAGGATCTCCGAACACTCAAGAAAACTCTGATTTAATTTTTGGGCAGCGAAGAAGTTCTTTTGCGAGACCCATTGCTAACTCATTTAGAGATTTTCAAAAAACTCAAAGAATCTTTTGATCTGTATTTGGTAGTGGGACCGACTGGTCTCTATCTAAGGGTGCCTTCATACCGCGCCGGCAGCCGCCGCTGGCAGCCCGTAGTAGCCGCCAGCAGCCCGTAGCAGCCCGTAGCAGCCGAGCAGCCCGTAGCAGCCCGTAGCCGCCGCTGGCCGCTTTTGATCCTGAGCGAAAAATCATCAGAATCTTACTACTTTAGGTGCTTTTACCTACGCTTTTCATCTTCCACGCTTTTTTTCCGTTGCTGCAATGTGAGCTGAATTTCACACATTACATTTGACCCATTGTTCTGTTGCCGCACTTTGCATCCTCCTATCAAGGCCTACATTTCACTTTTGCAATCTGTCTTGTCTATAACGATTGCGAGCGATTATCACAGTCAGAAGAACCCACCCCGCGAATCAATTCGGCAAACTTGCGAAATAGTGGAATGCAGTTTAGATATGCATCGATATCTAACAAGAAGATTGAAGCAAAATCATACTCAAAAAGTAAACAGATTGCACACCTGCAGAAAATGGACGCATCTAAAGTCAGAGGGAATCACAAAGGAAAGAAACTTCTGCGAACTATGGTTCAAAGGATGAACCATACGGCGTTAAGGTAATGAAATAGACACAAATATTATTTGTGAGTTCGAACAACCCACTGGCGGCAAAAGAAGGATAGGCAGGAGCACTCAAAGTAGTTTTCTGATGATTCTGCGCTTCTATGACAAAAGCGGCTAGCGGCGGCTACGGGCTGCTACGGGCTGCTGCGGGTTGCTGGCGGCTGCTACGGGCTGCTACGGGCTGCTACGGGCTGCTGCGGGTTGCTGGCGGCTGCTGGCGGCTGCTACGGGCTGCTACGGGCTGCTACGGGCTGCTGCGGGTTGCTGGCGGCTGCTACGGGCTGCTACGGGCTGCTAGCGGCGGCTGCCGGCGCGGTATGAAGGCACCTAAGTTTCTGGAGCATTCTCCAGATTTAAAGGCAGTAGGTCGGCAGAATGAGACCCGTGGCAAAACAAAGTCACAGGGTAGGAGCCCCCATAATGGAACCTATGGGCTAAAGTTCGATCTTTTTCCGCCACTTCAAAACCCCGAAATTTCAAAGCGAAAGCAGCGCTCATCTCCTGTCCTCTCCGAACCCGCCCACCCCATGGACGAGTGAACGCGAAGCCCGTCATGGCGAAGACGCAGAGTCGTTGCGGGACCTCATGCTTATAGCATTGCGGCTGGCGCTCTGACCGCGGAAGTCGCTCGTCCATGGGGTGGGCGGGTTCGGAGAGGACAGGAGATGAGCGCTGCTTTCGCTTTGAAATTTCGGGGGTTAGAAGTGGCAGAGAAAGATCGAACTTGGCCCATAGGTTCCATTATGGGGCTCTTACCCTGTGACCTTGTTTTGCCACGGTTCTCATTCTGCCGACCCACTGCCTTTAACCCTTTCCGGGGGGGCTGGGCTGCTTCGATAACGATACGGAGGCAGGCATTGCCTGCATGAGTTCTGCCTATACAATCCATTAGATTGTCTTGATTGGGATTTTGAACAAAAGTCCAAAGTAGCTCACACCTCGCATTTCTAGCTTTTAAGAAGACGATTGTGAAGGTTAGGATTTGATTGGTAAAATAAGGACTGTCTAACCATCTTGTATGGCACAGAAATAGAAATAAAACAAGTCTCCAAAATAAACATTAGAATACTAAGTGCTTTTGGCCTTGATTACGCAGTTGAAAATGGGAATATCAGGAGCTTTATTCTCAACATTTTTCCTCCGAATTCAGATGTTTCTCTCTCGCTTCTTTCTGTCGTTAACGAAATCGAATAGAATCGGCATCAAAATGCCCATATTCTTTTTGCCTGTTCACTTGTTGAAAATGCGAAACAATCTTCGCACACTCCAATAAGTCTTATCTTTGATTTTAGGAGAAACGCCGTATGAAGGTATATTGCTCATGCCCAATGAGGGCGACTCTGTGCCACTGGTCGTTCATCCTCATGGAGGTCCACATGGGATCTCAGTAGCTGCGTAAGTGGGTTTGGTCATCTGCGCTGCTCTGATCTGGACCGTAATAGGTGGCAGCGTCGGGCGCCAACATCTCTGATCAACTCTGGGTTTGCTATTTTAATGGTCAACTATCATGGATCTGTAAGTTGTGTTTTGTCGTAGTCTTTTCATGTTGAAGCACCTTTTCATTAGATTTTGTTGGAACTTCACTGTCTCAATTTGACAGCGATATCACTGATGCATTTACAAAATTTTAGCTAGGATTTGGAGACAAGTTTGTTCGCTCTCTTCCTGGTCGATGTGGAGATCTGGATGTCAAAGACATGCATGTGGGTGCTTCCCAGTCATAACGAGATTGCCTTCAAAATTGCAGAATGTGTTTTAGCATGCAGTCGTGACTGTTCTGGACTCTGAACCACGGCTTGATCGGGATAGAGTTGTACTCTACGGAGCATCACACGGGGGTTTTCTTGTTTCTCACTTAATTGGACAATACCCGGTAAGAATATTCTTTTTTATGAGCGATTAAGCTATTAAATCGTATATCGTCGTTTAGGGTTTCTACAAGTCCTGTGTTGCACACAATCCTGTACTTAATCTTCTGGCTATGCATGACATTACAGATATTCCTGATTGGTATGTTTTATTCACTTGAAGATCATTAGTCACGACTGAATTGTGAATGGATAGCTTACTTACGAGGGAAGCATACTTGGTGACCGTGGCCTTTTGCAATGAGATGTATACCGTAGGTGCGTCTTGAAACGCTGATTCTAAATCGATGTTCACTATCTGCTGTGCGAGTCCCTGAACGAAGTTATGGACTTTTTTCCATATTGAGTTTGCGAGATTTAGGCAGTCAAAATCTTCTGTACCCGAGCTTTTTAGACTCTGATGTCTCGGTGACAGTTTTCCTGAGCTTAACGTGAAGCTTTACTTTATCTATACGCTCTTTTGTAATGCGTAAGCGAACATTCTAGCAATATTGATGAATCCTGCATCGAAAACAGTGCAAATTTTGGTGACAAGAAATGTTTTTAACTTCTTACTGAAGAGCGCACAGCACATAATGAAAACTGATTTGGAAGCAGCGCTTCAAGATGCATTTAATGGTGTACGTTTCATTTTAAAAGGCCACGGTCACCAAGTATCCTTTCCTTGTTAGTCTTGTGTTTATCGAAGAGAATCTTTTTTCGTACGTTAGGCACGCGCCATACTTGATCCGTTCGATCTGCTTGATCCACTCCATCCACTCTGCTGTTGGTCAAATCAGCAGGCTGACGAACGGCGAAGTGGATCAAGTGGGTCAGGTGAAACATGCGCTTCGCCACTGGTCAGTTTGCTGGACCAATAGCGAAGTGGATGAAGCGGATCAAGCGGAACAAGTGTGGCGCGTATCTTATTGAAAAAGCTCCGAGTCACTTATGCAGCACAAATTCAGAAAACGGTTATCCGTAAGATTTGTACGATGTCAAACACGCATAACCTTCTATGCGCGCTGAGCCAGTTTTGAGCCACATTTTTCGGGGGGGGGGGACAATTTTGAGTGGTGAACTGTCAACTTCGCCCTCTGAAGATTTTATATGGATGTCGAGTTCAGAGCAAGCTTGTAACTACGAAATATGACAGTTACAAGCTTGCTCTAGAGCTAGCTCTCTTGAAATCGCGGCAGTTTTGAAGCTCTTTTTTAGCTGTCGATCTAAGACCTCGGGCAAAGTTCACGCGATTTCATCGTCGCGATTGATCGCGATAAGACAACTGTAATATCATTGCAATATCATTGCATGCCGATCTTCTTGCATTTCGGTTGTGATAGTTTTCCAACACGAATCGTGACTAAGTGTCACAACCGAAATACAAGTAGATCGGCATGCAAAGAACTTGTAACTGTCTTGTAGCGATGAATCGCGACGATCAAATCGCGTGAACTCTGGGCGAGGCTTAGTACGTTCAAAAAGATATTTGCTCGATTAAAGTAGATCTCCATGTTGCTAAATGTTGATATCCGCTTCCCCTAGTATCTTTTTAGGACCGTTTTTGAAGGGACGGGTAATGAAGCAAACTGGGCCTTATCAACAACGGAGGAGGAGCGAAAGCAAATGTTCCAGAGCTCGCCTATTGCATATGTTGAAAAGGTCCTTGCATTCTCAGTGCTATCTCCGTCCATTGATGATTTTCTTTTTCAGGTTGTTACTCCTTACCTGCTCTTGATTGGAGAGAAGGATCTACGTGTGGCACCTCACTATCGCGCTTTTATACGGAACTTACTGGCTCGAGGCGTTCCATGCAAGTGCGTGAAGAGCTTACTCTTCGCACCCCTTGCAACATATTACATTATCTTTACAGGATCCTGACTTATCCTGAATCAGCTCATCCAATTGAGGAAGTGGATGCTTATGCGGACTCCACAATTAACATCATCAGATGGTTTCAGAAGTCTCTGAAGTAAGGTTGCGTCCAAGCGCCAGCCTGTTTCCGGCCAAGCAGCAACAACTGGATGAAAAATTCGCTTTTAATTTGATACACTCCTCCTTCTTAATCACCGTCATCTCTTGTCACTCTTCCTCGGTGAAGTTTTACGCTTAACCCCAGATTTCCAGTGAGATCTATATATTTTGATAATAATCGAGTTTTGATAATTGAATATACTTCACATATTCTCATACCAATGCTAATAAAGATCTATTACACATTTCCTCTTCTGGTACCTTCCAAATATAACAAAGGATAAGCATCCGACTGCCGAAAAGTCCGAGGATAGGTATAGTCCAACTCATTTGTTTCCACAGGTAAGGGCAAGCAAGGGAACATCCATATGAAACATTCCATCCTTTGCTAAATTCCGCTAATGCCGAGAAAATTCCATAGAACTCCGACTTTCTAGATAGTGCGCCTCTTTCGTAAAGCTGTGAAACACTACCATATGAAAAATGTCTATGCAGGTGTATCATACTACAGATTGGATACTACAGTATCCAATCTAATGGTGCTTCCTTTATTATTTCTTAACTGAGATGTAGGTACTGTAACGTGCCACAAATGACAAACTGATGAGAATTAGGACTTGAAAACTTAGCTTTTGCTGATGTGTTCTGACTGTAATTTGTTGCTTACAAGATTATGCTCGCACATACGCTGGTCAAATAAAGCTTTCACAAGCTGGATATCGTTTTTGGCCCGAAAAAGCAAAGGGGAAGTCGTATTTTGGGGTCCGAGGCTCCGCCCTGGACCACAAAATACGACTTCCCCTTTGTTTACCGATAAACGATGCACATATCATTCTTTATTCATCATTCCTTGCTGATGCTACTGTCCTATGAACTTATATTCCAGCAATGTGAAGATTCTGTGCTCCGATCGCTAGCCTGCCCGCAGGCGGGAATTCAAATCGCAATTCTTGTAAGAGGGAAATAACAAAATAGGCTCGTTTTCAATGCACAAGTAACGTTATGGCACCAAATTTGCTGTATAGTTGGAGGACCATAAGCACAAAAAAAGTATGAAGAATTATGAGAAACTTATGTGAATTTAAAAAATGGTAAGTGTTTTTCGAAATTAGGTGGCTCCCGCGCCACCTGGGAGCCACCTGGGGTGGCTCCCTGCTTCCCTTCACATAATTTCCCAGATTTCTTTACATAAATGTGGACTAGGTCGAGAGTATTACTATATGTTCAAATCCGCTTCCAAAACCATCAAGGTACCGCTTCGATACAGCCCCAAATAGGGTTCACAGCGTTATGATCGGCCTCAGAAAGCGCGCTCCAGCATTCGGTGCATCTTGCACGGACGACGCGGAAACTCCGAGAATTTGACTTTTTGCTTAATTAGTGATCGCTGATTGAAGCAATCTTCGCAATTTTTGAATAGATTGCTTCTTCGACGAGCCCTACAAGGGCTCAGAAGGGCCAGAGATCATATTTGGTCGTGATGTTCTATACAAAAAGTTGTTTTTGTGATTGTGTTTCTTCAGTTTTCGCATTGTGGTCGTTCTCCGCACTTTCGCTCTTTTGGGTCGTTTGTTTTCGTCGTTTTTCTTTATTCTGGTTGTTGCAGGCATGCTGTCATCAAAAGTTGAGGAAATGTTTTTGACAAGATCGAGTCGAGTAAAGTCGGTGGACCTTCATCCCACGGAAACGTGGCTATTGGCAGCTCTTTACAGTGGAAGCGTTCAGATATGGAATTACGAAAGTCAGCTGCTTCTGAAATCTTTCAAAGTAGGTTTATTTTTTTGAATTTTCAAGTATTTTTGTATGTTAGGCCCCGGCCAGACTTCGCTCAAGATAGCTCATCCAAGAATGAGTTCCTATCCCGCAAATAGTTGAGCGTTGCCAGGTGTTCTTGTACATATGCGTCGTGAAAAGGGGCCTTTGGTGTTTTTGAGCGGTTCTGGGCTGTTCAGTTGAAGTCTGGGTGTGGCCTTATGTTTGCTTACTATGTTTCAATCCAGTATCTTGCGCATTCTTCAGATATGTGATTTGCCAGTGCGCGCTGCCAAGTTTATTTCACGCAGAAATTGGATTGTTCGGCTCAGATGGCATGCATGCCAGAATTTTCGACTACAGCACGTCGCACTTAGGTCACCAATTTGCGGCTCATTCGGACTATCTCAGGTAGGTGGAATGGTGCATTTATGCAAATATGTTACTTGACATCGAATTTTTGCATTCGTTTTTGTACATTTGTAATTTTTTGCTTTTTCTTTGTGTGTTTTCCTTCATTGCCTCCAATATTTTTGTGGATCAGCGAGACCCATATTTTCAATGTGTTTCTGGTCTGGACGATCCCTTACTCGACAGAGTTTACGCGATTTGATCGTCGCGATTGAATCGCGACAAGACAGCTGTTACGAGTTCATTGCATGCCAACCAGCTGGCACTTCGGGACTGTCAGGGACTTACGGGGGCCAAAAATAGGGTCAAAGGGAAAGTCGTAAGAAATTTTGGTTTCAAGGGGGATATCGTTTTTAAAATTCTGAAATGCCACCTCCTGCCGGGCCCTGTGCCCGTTGTCGGTTGTTAGCCTACCTCCTCGTTTATGCATGGAAATCAAGCGAAGTAATATTCAAAAGACAGCGGAAATGTTCATTTTTGATGTGATCAGTATACGCTAGTTGTTTTTCCGAGAATGCGAAACAGTACATGAACTCAGGCAAAAAACCTAATACTGTAGCAATTTTATATCTTCAAAGTAGAAATTGCAGGGTTTATCGGAAGGGAAGGTGATGCAGAAATCTTGCGATGGTATTACTCTGTGAGACACATTTAATTCTAAAGGAACTTCGCATGTTTTGAGCGAAGCGTAAAGGAGGCTCTCACACAATTTCGTGCACATGCGTGTATGCAAGCGCCAGATGAGTGAGAAAAGTTAGTAAGAGCTTCGCACAAAATGGCTCGATCGTCAGTGTGTTAATTCCGAACGTAATGGAACAAGCTACGAACAGCGGTGTTTTTTTTGTAATTAATCAGTGATAATAATGCGAACGAAGTTACTAATGACTGAAAACGCGTAAACAATCATAAAGGTGGTCATTAAGATCTTTGTCCCTTCACGGGTGAGATATCCAGCTGTCACATTTGACAAAACTTGAGTTTTGAAGGAATGTCAGTTGGCGGCTCAGAAGTTCCATCGGTAACAGCCATTATGTAGTAACGAGGCGCATTCTATGGTCATTCGGGAAGTTTTTTCGTTTTTTGCACCTTTGATGTTGGTGCCATGTTTTAAGAAAGAGCCAGAGGGCTGATAGGGATTGCTATACATGAAATAGTAGAGGAAGTCCTCTAGTTTCTGAGGGTCTCACCGAATTTGCAGAAAACGTTTTGTAGGGAAGTTTACGTGACTATAAATTCGACATATGAAAACGCGATTTTCGAATAATTGCACTCTTCAAGCTCAGTCTTGAGTGTAAGGCAGTCAAAGAAGCCATCATTGTGCGCAATGCATTTGCTAAGGCCAACTCTTTCTTGACATTGGTTGAAGTCTGCTTCAAAAAGTCCAGATCTAGAGAAGTGAAAGCTAATGTTCTGCACTGTTCTGGAAGGTGTTCCTGCCGTATAAACGAGCATCTCAAAGGGTCCTTTGAAGAAAATCGCAAATATAGCTGCATAAAACTATGGGCATGCCTTGTGGTGTCATATAGCCTCATTTGAAGCCACCATCGCTAAAGCTGCAATACCAAAAAATATTAGTGGCATACACCTCACAAATTCTCGCACTTGCAGATTGAGGGCGCGCTGACTCTGCTTTCGTTTCTCGTAATTTGGCGGAGCAATTCTTTTTTGGCCTGGATTGATAATTACAAAAATTGGCCAAGTACAGCTAAAAGAAGCAACGTAGTAAATCATTTGGAACAAGCACTGCAAGCATGGCCATGAACATAACTCATTACAAAAGGTTGATGTACTCAAATTAATGTAATCCTGCTAGTCTTACAATCTCTAAATTTGCTAAGATGTGATTGTGGTGTAAGAGCAGAGTAGTATGATATCGCTGTAAAGACCGTTTGTCAAAATTTCAGAATTTCTGAGCAGACTTGTACGTATAATCTATGAAAGGTGCCATCCTCGCCCATGGCGCCCTCAACCCACATGTAAGAAAAGTGGCCCTCACAAAAGAGATTAACTGCGCACCGAGGTTCCTGTTCATTTTCCAAACTCTATAGACTTTCCGTTACCAGCCACCAAATTCTCCAATTCCTCGGTGCCTATTAAAAAATAATAGGACCCAATAAAAATCAGCTTGGCAAAACTGCCCTTTTAGGTTTTATTAATTCCCCTAAGATGATTTCGCAAGAAAAAAGCACAAAAACACTACAGTAATGTTACCAGAGTTCTGGTGAACACAATGAAATTTATTTGGAAGAAAAAGGTTGGATGTGGAAAAAGTTGTGCTCGTTTGAATTTGGAGGTGCGAAAACGGAAAAACTTTTCGAATGACCTAATACTTCGATCGTAATTCTACCGTTATCAACTATCGGTGGTATTTTTACTCTTGAAAAGATAAAGTTCTAGTCAATCCCTACCAGCATGTTTCAGATATAGATGGATGTTAAACGCTGAAATCTTTTTGCTTGTCCTCATTTATCGATCGCGTAACTAGTTATGCAAGAATATTTATGTGTGTAAAAAATGACTGCGAAAATGTCTTTATTAATGTTCTATAAAACGGTCATTATGACAACGCGCTTCTCTCAGGAAAGTTGCACAAATTTTTTCTTCAGCATTAACATCTTGGATTTTTTCGACAGGGAAATGCTCATGATGTTGCCAACGTAGAAATTGCATGGTTTATTAAAGGTAAAGCGATGCAAAGATCTGGAAATGTTTGAGTCTTGCTAGTGTACACTTTGACATTGTAGAGCTGAAAATGGCTATTCTACTATATGAGTAATAACGGGAAGTTAAACACATACAGCTCGGTCCTTATTAGTTCTACACTGACAATTAGCTGGAGATACTTCCGAGGCAGCAGCTTCTTGTAATCATACTACCCTCGATACATAGAGCCACATACTCTGGTAATCTTTACTTTGAGAACTATAAGGGGACACAACCTTCACCTGGAAACAGGAGTTATCCGGAGCTTCGCCCTGGATGTTATTGTCCTGACTATATCGGAACGTATGTTTATAAAGCAAATATAGGGAATAATAGCTTTAGCTTATTCCAGCAAAACCGAAAATTAGCGTTTTTA